TGCATGCATGTGGTCTTTTCTGCCTAATGCAGGACACCTTGGCAGGCAACCTTTGTTTGAGACCTCCGCATGGAGCTGGGCAGCTGAGACTGTTCCAGAACTGCCCTGCCGTCTACAGCTCCTTGCCGTCTCCTTTCTCAGGCATTAGCCCTGCATTGTGGTCTGAAGCTTCCCTTCCCTTCTTCACCTGCCCTCTTTATCCTTTGCCGCTGTCAGAAATCAGAAGTCATTTTGACTTCTGCGGGCATTTTCCCCAGAAAACAAACAAGCCAGCAAACACCCAGGCATCTTATTCTCAGGGAACACAAACCAACATAGAGATCAATGGGGGAAAATGCTGGAAGAGAGTTCAGAAGGAATTAAAACTATAGAGACAGTGACACAGAGATGCCTGTCCAAATATGCAGCATCCCACTTTGCCAATGTTAATGTGAGCCTGAATTACCTCGGGTAGTGCTAAAATGCAAATTGTGGTCCAGTGAGACTGGGATGGGACCCAGGTGCTATTCTTCTAACAGGTCTCCCAGGAGGTACCAGAGCTGCTGGCCCAAGGACCACACACCAAGCAGTGAGTTGTTGCATATCTTCCACAGCCTTTTCTGTGTCTTCCAGCCTTGGGAGGCTGATCCCAGGAGCCACTTCAGCAGGCTCCCAAACTCTGGCTTCCCATTGGGTTTCCTATGAGGAGCACTGGCAGGAGATCAGAGGGCAGGAGGAAAGCATAGAGGTGTTTGCTCCTTTGGGGAGGGCTTCCTACTGAGTTGCTGTGGCTTGGCCGGTGTCCCTCTACCAATCGCCAAGGTTCCTATCAGGTAGCCTGAGGAGGTTTTCTCTTTTGGAATTCCAGACCTGTCCCTTCAGGCCTGGGATGGTAATTGCTCCCTATCTCTACCATCCGGGGAGCACTGAGCCATCCCTGTGGCTCTGAATAAACCTGTCCATACTTCTGTAAATGGCTCTTTAGTTCCTTAGTTCCTCAGCTAAGTGTGCTAGCCATCCCTGGTTAGGACTCTGACTATGCTGTTCAGTGCAAGATTTCTTCATAACAGTAGAATACTGGAAACAAGCCAACTGGGCACCACTTAAAAGATGATTAAATAAATTATGGTACATCCTCTGAATGGTTTTTCAAGCAACCATTGAAAAGGATGCAGCCAATCGACATTCACCTACATGGAATGATGCCCAAGACACTTGCTAAATGGAAAAAAAAAAAGCAAAGCAAGCAAAATTCAGAACAGCATGTATCATTTGAACCCATAACCCATCCATTTTTTTTCTTTTTCTTTTTTTCTTCTTCTTTTTTTTTTTTTTTTTGGTACCAAGGATAGAACTCAGGGGCACTTAACCACTGAGCCACATTCCCAGCCCTTTTTGTATTTTATTTAAAGAGACAGGGTCTCATTGAATTGTTTGGGGTCTCCCTAGATTGCTGAAGTTGTCTTTGAACTTGCAATTCTCCTGCCTCAGCCTCCCAAGCTGCTGGGATTACATGTGTGCACCACCACATCTAGTTGAACCCATTCATTTTTTAAAAAAAGTAAATACGAACCCATTCATTTGAAAAAGGAAATTATGCATTTGTTAAGCTTTGGATTGCAAGTGGTCTGTGATGATAACCCTGCTCAAAATAAACCTAGCCAAAAAGAATGGGGATGAGAGTTTTCTGCCTTGGTCTCTTCCTGTCACTCTGATCTGCTTTCCTTTGTGATGGCCTCACTCCCAGGTGGTGGCAGAGTACATTTGGTTTAGAAGACCCCCACTTCAGACAGCTGACAACCTCACCAGATAGGGCCTTGCTCCCAGTTGCTTCAGCAAAACCCCTGGGCTCACACCAATCAGAATGGACTTGAACACTCGCTAACCACTGATCCACAGGGACAGAGGCAGTCTCCCCAAGAGAAAAAGCATGCCTACAAGGAAAAGACTGCAGAAGACTTTTGTTGTACGTTTTGGCTGCCAAACATCTGAACCCCTTTCCTACACTGAGGAGTGCCCCACCTTCTGGGGCGGAACTCCCTCCCACTCTTCTAGATTCTCAAAATGCCAAAGTGGCTTTCCTAGATTCCCTTTGGGTCACGTGCCATGACCCAGGCTGGGCCAATCAGACACTCCCACCTCAAGTTCTGAATCTGAAGCACTTATACTCAAAAAGTCCTGAGCTGACTCCATCCTGGTATAGGCTGCTGTTGTGGCATGGTTAGGGGTATGGTTCCTGACGTTTGGCCTCCAAAAATGTCTTCATGGGATCTGCGAACTGTGAAGTAATTTTGTATTAAATCCTCTTTCTGCTTAAATGATCCAGACCACTGATTTCTGCTGTTTGCAATAGAGATGCTGGATTAATGCTTACATTCTTGTGTGCATGTTCGCATATACATGACACTTTTTGGAGATAAAATGCATGTGACTACTGGTTATCTATGGGGAGTAAGACTGGGAGAGTGGGGGAGGTGGGAAAGGGGCTTTTATTTTTGCCTTGTGCCTCTTTGCATAGTTTTTGGAATTTGAATTTTTACATTATTTTTATAAATGATACAACCAATTAGTAAAAATAAAAGTCATTTGAATAAAAAGAATAAGACAGGTATAATACTTGGGATTTTCATTGAAACAAATGACTTTCTTAGACCTTCCAAAGGAAGCTGTCCTCACTCTGATTGTGATGAGCGAGGCCAAATCTGGAAGGGGGTGAGATGTACCAACTGAGCCCCAGTGGTGAGCATGGACCCTGCAACTTGCCTGCTCAAACGCTTCCCATGGCTCCCCATTGCTCTCAGAATAAACCCCACAATCTTCACCCTGCTGCCAAAGACCTTTGCAATCTAAACCCTGGGGACTTTCTTTATCTTTACATTTTACCTAGAAGAACTTTTCTTTTAGCCCTGCCAACCCAGATCCTCGGGGCATTTGTATCTTCTCTGATCTGACAAAGGCATGACTTACTCCTTCCTTCCATCAAGGTTTGTGCTGTTTTAATTCTATATAGATGAGACTTAGTCACAAACAGTCATGCATTGAGCACCTACCGTATGACCTTTTGTTAGGCTTCTGGAGCCAAAATTCACAGTCTATAGAAATTAATGACCCCATCCTAATAGAACGTTAGTGTCAGTGCCACAGCAGGTGGCATGAGGTATGCTATCTGTGGGCAGGGCCACTCTTCTCACAGCATCTTTCTTTTCCTCTGCCTGGATGGCTCCTTCCCCAAATGTCACTGTGCTTGCTTTCTCAGTTCCTTCTGGTCTCTGCAAATGTTCCTTTTTCAATGAAACCTTTGCCCACTGATTATGAAATAATATCCTTCTCTCTCTGCTAACTACCTGGATGTATGTTCTACTGTTCCAATAGCACTCAGTCACCATCCACCACTCAAGTAATTTATTGGGTTCTGTATTTACATTCTCTTTCCACTGTTTGCTCCAGGAAGGCAGATATCTTATCTTGTCCATATGTCCTTCCAGCTTGTAGAACTGTGCCTGGCACTAGCTGGCACTCAATAAATATTTGTGGAGAATGGAAAGGGAACTGGACCAGATATTGGAAGACAGAAATCCTGCAAAGTCTCCCTCAGAAGAGCTGCATTGCCTAAAGTAAGGCACAACCTCTTCAGGCCTCAGTCGAGTCCTCTGTAAATTCAGAAGATCCAGTAAGGATCAGTGTGTCTGCCTTTAGCATGCATCATAAACAGCTCAGAGCTTGCTAAAACACAGGTGGCTGGCCCTACTCCGAGTTTCTGACTAAGTAGTTCTGAGATGTGGCCAGGAAATCTGTATTTGTAAAAATTTCTCAGTTGGTCCGGGTATTGGTTTGTGGGCCACATGTCAAGGACCATGAATAAGGAGACAAAAAGTAGAAGAGGCATTTGTATCCCCTTTCAGGTGACAAACCAACACCTCGAAGTACACAGTGGGAGCACAGAGGCACCCTCCTTAATCCAATCAACAACTTTTGTAGGGACAGATGAGGCAAGGCACCGAGGAGGACAGCAGGAAACAGTTTTATTTGGCTGCAGCCAGGTTCAGAGGGCACAGTTTTTGCTGTAATCAATCAAAGCCCTGAACCCGGAGTTCAGGTAGTTTCAGATTTTTATACCCAGCATGTAAGGGGTGGGGCTCAGAAGTTCACATAAAAGCAGCCCCCCCCCCACTGTTCTGGGCAAGTTAACCCTTCAAGGACAATAAATGAGAAGGGGAGAGCTTCTTCTCTCCCTTCTTTCCTCCCTCTGCCATCTGTTACCATGGAGCCCAATTGGTAACTTCTCTTATTTTAGAGATGTAACATCTCTGTGAAGCTCTAACTCAAGGCCAGAGGCCTTGTTAAAGGATTTTTTTTGTTGTTTTTTTAATCACATTTTGCATTTGCAAACAGCTTCTACAAACTACTATACTGGATACATGTTTGTGAAAAACAAGTAAAGGGCCTTCAGCACCTGGAGTGCCGATTTCTTCCCGGCCAGTGGCCAAGTAAAATAGAGCAACAGGAAAATAGGAAGTTTAACTACATTGAACTTTTTTTTTTTTTTTCTGTAGAAACTCTTTTGCTTATAGTCTGAGAAGCTTGGGTTTTTTTTTTTTTTTTTTTGTGGAGGAATGTGTGCCACTACACAACTGTTGGAGAAGCGCCCATTAAGAGGAGGGCGCCGGGCATCAGCTGGGCACGCGGGCCTTGTCCAGGCCGGTTCAACTATGGACCTGGCCTGGCCTGGTGGCCCCGCGGGGAAGGCTGGACAGCCGCTCAAAAACCCTCACGCAGCCTTAAGTCTCCAGAACCGCGGGAGAGGGTCACAAGCGGGCGCTGAAAAGTCAAGGGCCAACCCACCGGGGAGGCGGACGCTGCTCCGGGCTTCCCGGAACCCGGGGTTCCCGCCTCCGCCGCCCGGGTGGTGTACGCGCGGCCACAGCCGCGGCCTCGTCCCAGCGCGCGCCCGGCGCAGTGGGCGCGGGCGGCGGCGGAAGGGGGCGCGGGCGCGGCGCCGGGGGCGGAGCCGGAGGAGCGCACAGACGCGGGCCGCGGGCGGCCGCGGCTGCGATGGGCGAGGGCGGGCTGCCTCCGGCCTTCCAGCTGCTGTTGCGCGCCTGTGACCAGGGCGACACGGACACTGCGCGCCGGCTGCTGGAGCCGGGGCCGCCGGAGCCGGCCGAACGCGGCGCGGAGCCCGAGGCGGGCGCGGAGCCGGCGGGGCCCGAAGCGGCCGGGCCCGGGGCGGCGGCGCCCGGGGCGCCGGTGCCGGTGGACTGCTCGGACGAGGCGGGCAATACGGCGCTGCAGTTCGCCGCGGCCGGGGGCCACGAGCCCCTCGTGCGCTTCCTGCTGCGGCGCGGCGCCTCGGTCAACAGCCGCAACCACTACGGCTGGAGCGCGCTCATGCAGGCGGCCAGGTGAGCGCAGCGCTGGGGACCAACCTGCCCACGGACGGCCGCAGACGCCCCGGGAGGCAGAGAGTCAAGGACTCCTTAGAGTTGGACCGGTCAACTTGAGCATTTTCTGGTAAACTTAGACTAGAAGTGGAAGGATCTTGTATTTAACATGAAGTCGGAGTCTTAGAAACTTTGGCCTTTCAAAACAATCTGGAGAGCGAGTAGAACCTTAGAGACTCGGGTTCTGATATTTTAATTCATTCTTTTTTGCAAGAAAGGTTGTCTGAGACCCTACCTCTCACCACGATTTGGCGTTGGAGGTACTGTGGAAACCAGTGAAGTCCCCACCCCTGTGTGGCTCACAGACTGGTGGGCAGGCTAGACAAAGGAACAAACTTGAGCAGGAAAATTTGGGTAACTCTGGTGCAGTTGACCCAGTTTGGAGAGAGAGGGGAAGGCGTTTGGTAGAAATGATGTCCAGAAAGGAGGATGTGTCAAAATTAACCAAGACAGAAAAAATGGGAGGGGGGAACCACATAATGGAAAAACAAGGTAGCAAGTGGGAGGACAGCGGGGAAGGATGTGCAGATGAAGTCTCCTTGCAGAGAAGGCAGGTGCCCGGTTGGTACTTAGAAGGGCCCACTAACCTAAGGACATTGGAGGGTCATGGAATGAGTGACAGGATCAGTTTTGTGTTTTGGAAAGATCACTTTCACTGCAGTGTGAGATGGATTGGAGAGATAGGCTAGAGTCAGAAAGGCGGCTTGGGAGGGGACTGTAGCAATCCAGAAAGAGGTGAGAAGCCTGGACCAGAATGGAGAGGAGAAAGACAGTGGCAGAGAGCAGAGATGAGTTTGAGATTTACTCAGGAATCAGGTTCTAATGTCTGCCTGGCCTTGGGGAGCGGGCAAGGGAAAGGGTGACGGCAAAGACTACCTGTGGATTTCTGGTTGATGGTAAATACACTGAGCTGGAGAACACAGGAGAAGGGGCAGGTGTGAGAAAGCGTGGCCTCAAGCACACCTCAGAGTTTCCAGCAGGGAACCAGATCTGGGGGTCTGGAGGGCACAGGAGGGTCTGAGCCCAAGGATAGGAAGTTGATAGCATGTTGATGACAACCTGAACTCTGGAATAGGAGGAATTATCCAAGGGGAATGTGTCAGTTACTACGAGACCTTGGGGCTTTATTAAAGCAACAACCATTTATTTAGCATTTTTGCCATTCTGGTCTCATCTGTCTTCTTTACACAGCTGTGATCAACAGTTTGCCCACAGCTGTGTAAGGGATCTGGGTGGCTTTTTTTTTTTTTTGAGAGTTGACTGGATGTTGGCTTTGACCACAGGGGTGATGGGACTGCTTCTCTTTCATCCTTCAGGTGTCCGGCCTGGGCTGTCCTGTGTCAGCAGCAGTGTCCCTAGCATCTGAAACACACTGTTCACTTCTGCCACATTCTCTTGGCCTAGGCAAGTTACAAGACCATCCCAGATGAGAAGAGTGGGTACAGATGGTACCACCTGATGGGGAAGAGTGGCAGACTCATTTGCCATGCCTGGAGACAGGGAGGGGAATACCTGCTATCCATTTTGTCAATAATCTACTCTATTAATATTAATGGATTACCCATAAGCAGGCCCAAGTCCAAGAGCTTTGTACATACTAACCCATCTTACTGTCACAATAGCACCAGCATCCCTGTAGAGGGAAAGGGAAGATGGCAGGAGAGCCCCAGATGGTGAAGGTCTGCAGGACGGCATTGGTGGAGGACTGAGGAGGATGTGAACACACAGAAAGTGCCGGTAGCTCTTTCACAGAGCTTGGCTCTGGGGTTGAGGAGGATGCTTGCCTAGGGTTTAAAGGTTTTTAGGATGGTCAGAGTTGGGCAGGCTTACCAGCTGATGGGATGAGTCATGGAGGACTAATTAGAGGTGTTCAGATAAGTAGGGGTGGAGGTTCCCTAGGCTGGATTAATATTGTTCCTTATAGAAAAATGTGTTTTTAATTTGTCTTTTTAAAAAGGATTATTTAATCAAAAATGCCTCCAGATATTGCCACGTGTCCCCTGGAAACCACTCTTTGATGCATATACAGGCAGACGAGGTGGTTGACTTCAGCCTTGTTCAGATTCTACACTGTTCTGCACTTTGCTTTTTCCACTTGATATACTCTGACAGTGTTTCTGCATCGGTACTTAAAAACCTCCCTTGATTTCCAATAGCCTGACAATATTTTATTGTATGATAATTTATTTCACCAGCCCTTTGTGGTCATTTAGTCTCCTGCTGTTTTCATTCATGCTGCAGTGACCAGTCGGATACACACGTCATTTTACAGGTGCTCAATTGTCGCTGCAGGAGCTTCCCTAGGGAGGGCATAAGGGCCATTTGTAATTTTGATGGATAGTGTCAGATCTCCCCGAAGGTGTGCTTGTTTCCTATGGCTGCTGTAATCAATTACCACAACAACACAGATTTATTGTGTTAACAGTTCTGGAGGTCAGAGGCAATGGGCCTCCCTGGGCTAGAATTAAGGTGCTGCAGAGTGGTGCTCTCTCTGGCTCTGGGGGGAATTCTGCTCCTTGCCTTTTCTAGCTTCTGGAGTGGCCTGCATTCCCAGGCTTAGGGGCCCTTCCATCTTCACAGCCAGCAACAGAGCTTTACTCCCACCTCTCTTCCCTCCTCATACCTCCTCTACCTCTGAGCCTTCTGCTTTCCTGTGCCACCTGCCACGTTGGTTGAAAGGAACCTTGAGATGACCCTGGCCCACCTGGGTCATCGAGGCTGCTCACCACTCAGCTGATGGTGACCTCTATTCCATCCAAGCCTGAATGTCCCTTTACCAGGTCATGTAGAATATCTACAGTGCCTAGAGATAAGGATGTGGACACCTTGGGGGCCATTTATTCTGCCAGCCACAATAGTTACCCGCCCCCTGCCCCCCCCCCCCCCAACATCAGCAGCGTATGAGTGCCTGTCTTTCTCTGGCCTACAGAATATGTGATCAAACTTTTGGATCATTGCCAATCTAATGTATGAAAATCTCAGCATAGCCGAGTTTGCACATTTTAAGTGGTTGGTGAAAGAATCTTCTTTCCCTATGTGTGAGCCCTTTGTATTTTCCATGCCTTTTAGAAAAAAAAAAAAAGCTTTTAACCGTAATCTTCTCTTGGTGACTCAATATTTTATTTCTCAGAATTCTTTTCCAAGTGTTACACAGATGTTCATGTAACTTAATTTGTATTACTAGTAAGATTTCATTCTTGCAAATATTGTTTTCAGCCACCATATGGAAGTCCATCCATGGGATGTACTGTGGTTTGCTCTTACCCATTCCCCAACCCTGGGACATTGATGTGAATTAATTTAGAAACCTACTTAGGGATTGCAGCCTGTGTTCACGGGCTGCCCATGTTTACTAAATCTAGCATTTTACCCACCTGTTTAACACGTTGACATCTTCTGTCTAAAGACACCTTTTCTCCTTGCCCAGAGTAGTTGAGGTGACCTTAAAGCCTTTTTATATCCCTCCTAATGGTACCACCTCTTCTCCCAGGCTTTAAAACTCCAGGTAAGTCCAGGACTTGTCTGCCCAGTGGGCTTTGGCATGGCCCTGAAATCCACATCCTTCTTTTTTTTGGTGCTAGGGGATTGAACTCGGGCACTCAACCACTGGAGCCACATCCCCAGCCCTATTTTGTGAGACGGGGTCTCACTGAATTGCTTAGCACCTCACATTTTTGCTGAGACTGGCTTTGAACTTGCAATCCTCCTGCTTCTGCCTCCCGAGCTGTTGGGCCACTGCGCTGGGCCCTGAAACCACACTCTTCTCTTCTTTGTCTCTGCCTTGGTCCAGACCAGGCCTTTGTAGTGGCCCCCACTTGCTCCCTCTCTCCAGCTGTACCTCTCCCTTGACGGCTCCCCAGCCAGAACCCTGAGTGTTCTGTGGCATTCTAAGGCCTCACGTTCAGACCCTTCCCGGTACCTCCTCTTCTGCTTTTCCTGGCTTCCTAAATCAAGGCAAGATGATTTCATCTGGGCCTTCTGTGTGTGTGTCTGCATTTTTTAAAGCTAACACTGGTTATTTACTGTATGCTAGGAATGTCGTCTCCATCTTATAGAGAGGATCTGAGATTTAGATAATGAAATTTGTCCCCCAGCTGACCATTGGTCAGAGCTGATTTGGGGGTCCCACTGCAGGGCCCTCATCATAGCTGCATACATACAGGGGTGTCCCTTCTTCCCTTCTGCCCTCAGTGAAGACTGCCCGCTCCAGTTCCGCTTCTTCCAGGGAGCCTCCCATGCTCTGCACCTTTTCCCTGGTTGCTCTACCAGGAAGGCCTTGGTAGCAGTGTCCGCCATACCACATCAGAGCTGGCTGCCATCCTCAGTGGTACCCAGACCTGGCCACACCTGAGAATCACTGGGATTGTTTTCCAAGGAGAGATTGCCGAGTTACCTTTCTGGAGGTTGTGATTCAGAAGTCCTGTGGCGGATTGTGAAGGGTAGGGACTGTGTGAGAAGAAGCTCTCAGTGGCTCTGGCATGTGGGTTTCCCTAACACAGAGGTCCTGGAGAGGCCACGGGTGCTTACTGAGGTTCCCGGCCACAGCACCTGGATGCCTCCCAGTGTCTCGGAGACCCCTGGTCACCAGTTTTTGCTCCTCCTCAAGTGCTGCAGGATGGTCAGCGTTACTTGATTGATTTCAGGTTAATTTCTGTTCATCTTGATGGAGCAGGAGACTCAGAATAACCTGTGATGGTTAACTAGTAATAATTTAACTTTTTTAGAGGACTTTCTTCTGTGAATCATGGTGGTGTACAAAGAGCTGGGACTTGGGGCCCACATAGCCTGACTTTGTGGCTTCCAAATCGAGAGAGTGAACTAACCACATCCCTCTTCATGCCTCAGTTTATCCCACAGGTGCTGTTTGGGAACGATAGTATGATATACTCTTATATTTCTGTGACAGTAGGGTAGGAGCCTTCTTTCTACAAGAGGGTTAGAATTCGCACTTGCTGTCACTGACCCTAGGTGGGTCCCAGGCACTCCAAGGCTTATTGGTAGTATGGGGCGTCTACTCAGGGACCACCTGCCTGCGTGGAGTTGGGGTCTGTCTTACGCCTTAGTGTGGAGGAGTCATGAGGGAGGCTTCCTGAAGTCAGTCTGTCATCCTGTCAGATCGGGATGACCCCTGTGTGGATGCTTTCTAGGCTCATGTCCTCCTTCTCCAAATTGAGATGAGCCTCAAGATCCTCCTCAAGTGACACTCTGGCAGACACCACTTTGGCCCGAGTGAGCATCTGTGTATCACCCCTGGTCTTGGTGTTTCAAAGCTCATGGCTGGATCAGGCCATCAGAGGTCCCTGCCTGGACTTTGCAACTCTGGCTTCTTATAGAGGTTTTAGTGATAGACACGGTTACAAGAATGATTTTTCCTATTCGTGAAAGAAGAGGTGGGGCTGAGTGCGCCCCTTTTTTGTGTCAAGTATTGTGTTTAGTACTTAAATGAACTAGCTTGTTTGGTCCACACAAAACCTTAGAAAATAGGTTCTATTTGAATTCTCCTTTTCTAGATGAGGAATTGAGGCCCAGAGAAACAACGTGTCCAAGGCTGCACAGCTCGTGGCAAAGTCAGATTCACCCTCCAGCAGGTCGCCCCAGAGCTGTACTCCCAGCCTTAAATCTGGTAGTTTTCTTCTTGGTGTTGGTGGCAAGGAAGTGACTCACTAGATTGGCCAGCGATGTCTGGCCAGGAGACCGGGTGGCCTGGTGTTTACTCTGGCGCTGATTTCTCCCTTGGCCTCTTTATCGTCCCTCCGCTTCCTTCATTCCCCTGCTGTGGGAGTGGCAGAGCTGGACGCTGGGCCCAGTGCTCTGAGTGGTGGGAACGTGTGCCATCTTCAAACACAGGTGTTAATTGCTGAAATTAATTGGTAATCATAGCACCTGCTCAGAAAGCCCCTAGCATCCCCATGTCCAGTAATTACCTATTAAAACTTAGCATCCGAAAAATCATCTCAGCCTCTGTTGAATCTTCGTATATTTCCAGCCTAATTGAATGCTCTTTAGGGCTACCTGTGAGTTCAGAAAACATTCCAGAATTCAGTGTACCTGCTCTAACTCAGCCCTTTGCTTCCCTTGTAAAAATTGGGTAGACCGGAAGAGCTGCGTGAGGCTTGGAGTTCTAGTTGAGATTCATTGCTTTCCCCTGTAATCTTCAGTTGTGAAATTCGAGGCAAGGAGTTCACCTCTGGGCTTTCTAGGATCAAATGAGATAAAAATCTGAAAACACTTTGTGATCTGCTGTTAGAGATTATGCCAGGTGTTATTTTATGCTTGATCACTAAACAGTGCAGTCCCTTTAAAGCCCCGACTCCGGTGGGCAGTTCCTCCATTATTTCTGTGGCCTGGACCTTCGTCTCCCTGGTTATTCTGTTTATGCATTCGCTTACCTGTCCATTGATGCAGTTCCTGAGCTCCAGTATGTGCTAGCCCCTATGTTAAGGGCTGGGGAAACAAGAGTGTGCAGAAACCAGTTGTGTCCTTGGAAAGACCACTGTCAAGTGGGGGAGAGAGAGAGTTCTAGAAAGAAGGTTCAGGTGTGGACACAGAATAAGGTTGCAACTGACCTGGCCTGTTAGGGGTTCCGTCCGGAAGCCGCACAGAAAAGGTGAGAGCTGAGCCAAAGCCTGAGCAGGACTGAGTGTGTTCAGTAAGTGCACACTTACTGAGGGGCTGGGGGGGCAGGGGAGGAGGGTGTGATGTGGGAGCAGGGAGGGTGAGGTTGGTAAAATAGCCCTCTTTGGACAGTGGGAAGCTGGCGTGTAACCATCAGATTTTGTTTGGGGTTGCATGGAGGATGGGTGAGGGAACAGATTGGAGGTGAGACAGGGGCAGGGGGCAGAGTTGCAGCCAGTGTTTCAGTGTGACTTGTCCCTCTCTCTGCTCTGGGAGAAGGGACTGGAAAGGCCCAGCCCCCAACCCCTCAGCTGGGGGAGCCAGTTTACCAAGCTGTCCCCCCTAAAGTGAGTTGCCCTGGGCTGTTAAGGTTCATGTCCCAGAAGGTATTTATAAGTTCAGCGGGAGACTTAGCCCAGCTCAGACCTGGCCCTGCCTCCACAGGAGGAGGGAGGCCCTGGATTTAGATGAGAAGCAAAACCCATTTCCAGAAATGGAGGGGTGAGGACAAACCTTAAAGCCTCCCTACAGATGCAGATGTTTGTGGTCTCCTGGACCTCTCAGGGTGGGCCCCTCCTGGTCATTCTTTCCTGGTTAGTCCGGGCCTCTTCCAGCTCGCACACTCTGCTGAACTCAACAAAATAGAACTTTTCTATCCACTGATGTTGAATGAAGGAAGAGCTTTTGCAGGGAAGAGATACCTGTTTCCCTCTTCCTCATGTTAGGGTTTGGTGGGCGCTTGTCTCCCCCGCTCAGGCTGGTTGAGGAAGGTCCGGCCCAGGCCAAGTTCTCAGCTGCCTGCAGTGAACATTCCTGCCAGCTGGGGGCAGCAGGCCGGCGCCGAGGTGCCTGAGCGCCTTTGCTGAACACAGTGCCCCTCCTCTTGGCGTTCAGAGGGTGTGTTGTGTGTTGGGGGCTGGGGAGGGTCGATGTCAGTCAGACATGGGCCCTGCCGGTGGGGGAGATCAGCACAGGCAGAGAGGCAGATTACAGGCTAGAAAGCAGAATAAAATGCACTCTGAGATGTGGGAGGCAGCCTGGCATAGGGGAAAAAGCGAGGGCAACGGGATTCAGGCCGACCTGGATTCCGACCCTGATGCTGCCCCTTACCAGCTGTGTGCCCTTGGCAGGTTGCAGAATGTTAATGCTGAGCAGTTAACAATAGCTGACGTTGAGAGACTGCTTCCTGTGGCCAGGCACTGCTCCAGGTGCTGTGTATCTGTATTAACTCATTTAAGCTCCAGCAACCTTTGAAGTAGGTACAGGCATGGCCCCATTTTATAGACCAGGAAAGGAAAACAGAAGCAAACGATTCTTTCTGCAGGTTGATGGGGGAGCTGGAACCGTCCCTGGACAGGGCATTTGCTTATCTGGTGAGGCTGCATGTGCAGGGCCATTGTGGTGTCTGACACCAGGGAAAGGTCATTTATTCTAGGCAGCTGTTGTGCCTCTAGTGACCAGTGACAATGGGGGCTATTGAGCTGTTTCCTCATTAGTGCTCCCTGTTTAAATGACCAATTTTCTATTTTCCTGGCAGATTTGGGCACGTGAGTGTGGCACACCTCCTTTTGGATCACGGGGCTGATGTCAATGCCCAGAACCGGCTGGGGGCCAGCGTGCTCACCGTGGCATCTCGGGGTGGCCACCTGGGTGTGGTGAAGCTGCTGCTGGAAGCTGGTGCCTTTGTGGACCATCCCGGCCACTCCGGGGAGCAGCCGGGAATGGGAGGTGGCAGGGATGAGCTGCTGGACATTACAGCCCTGATGGCCGCCATCCAGCACGGGCATGAGGCTGTGGCGCGTCTGCTGATGGAATGGGGTGCGGATCCCAACCATGCAGCGCGGACTGTGGGCTGGAGCCCACTGATGCTGGCAGCACTCACCGGGAGGCTTGGCATGGCCCAGCAGCTGGTGGAGAAGGGAGCCAACCCCGACCACCTCAGCGTACTGGAGAAGACCGCCTTCGAGGTGGCACTTGACCGCAAGCACAGAGACCTTGCAGATTTCCTGGACCCGATGACCACAGTCAGGCCCAAAACAGGTCAGGCTACACCACCACCCTACCCCTGCCCCTGCCCCTGCTGTTTAAGTGGCTCAAACCAAGAATTGCCTGCCTGGAAGGGCACACAAAACTCAGAGTCCAGCCTTGCAGACCAATGGGACTTGAGCTGTGGCGTGTGCACAAGTCAGATGGGGGTGCCTGTTACGGCAGGTTCTGTCCACCCTCCAGAGAGCGTGATGTGGTAGCTCTGGGGAAACCCCGGAGACCTACCTAGCCAGGCCTCTCCTTCCTAACCAGATGATTCTGATGCAGGTGGTTCTAGGATCCTTCTAGAACAGAGGTCAGCAAACTTTCTCTGTACAGGACTAGATAATAAATATTTTAGGCTTTGTGGGCCATACAGTCTGTGTCAGAACTACTCGATTCTGTTAGAATGAAAGCAGCCATACACAGTATGTAAATGAGTGGGTGTGGTTATGTTCCAGTAAACCAAATTACCGTGACAGGCAGCAGGGGGATTTGGTCCCTGGGCTGTAGTTTGCCAGCCTCTGCTCTGGAACGGTGTGCTTAACTGCCAGCAGTCAGTCCCCGAGACCAGTTCACATGAAATTAGTGAAAATCACCCTCCCTTTTGAATTGATTTTTTCTTTTAACATTTATTAATGTGTTTCTGTTTTCCTTTTTCTTTTGTTGGGGGGGATGAGGGGTAACAGGGATTGGATTCAGGGGCACTACACCACTGAGCCACATCCCCAGCCCTTTTTTGTATTTTATTTAGAGACAGGGTCTCACTGAGTTGCTTAGCACCTCTCCGTTGCTGAGGCTGGCTTTGAACTCAAGATCCTCCTGCCTCCGCCTTCCAAGCTGCTGGGATCACAGGTGTCTGTCACTACACTTGGTTGTCCTGCTTCTTTTTTGCCATTTTTTTTTCTGGCATTTATAAGGTGGTTTGAACAATCCTTAGTGAATCTGCCACAGGACACGTTGCATTTCCAAACCTTTAGTTCATCATGTGCAATAGGCCCAGGAAACAGTGTCACAGCAGGATCAGATACAAGTGCTGACCTCCTGTCCAGCAGGCCCAATTTGAGACAGTTCTCCCACTCTGCAGCTGGGTGGCCTAGGACATGTTAATTGTCCCTCTAGGACTTCCATGTCCTTTTTCATAAAATAGTCATAACACATTTCCCTGATAAGGCTTTGTGGGGAGTCATTAGGGTCATACCTATAAAATGCTTATCCCATACACACACACACACACACGCTCGCGCGTGTGCACACACGCACATGCACACACATGCACACGCACACACATACATACACGTGTGTGTGCGCACAGACCCAGGATGGCTTACCCGCTGATCCGCATCTCAGCCTTTTTTCGTGTTTTATTTTGAGACCCTTTTTTGTTTTATGTTTTAGTTTGAGACAGGGTCTCACTGAGTCCTTAATGCCTTGCTAAGTTGCTGAGGTTGGTCTTGAACTTGCCATCCTCCTGCCTCAGTCTCCGCAGTCACTGGGATTACAGGTGTGCACCCCCACCCCTAGCTATAGTATGTTTTTATGGATTGTACATTCTTTCAGTTATTTGACGAATATTTATGGAGTGTCACTATGTGCCAGGTATCATTCAAGGCACCCTGAGATATGTCAGTGAACAAGTGAGATTCAGATCCTTGCCCTTGGACTTTGGCCTCTAAAGCGGGAGACAAGCAATAAATAAGAAATAAGCATATTAAATAACATATATAGTAAGGTAGAAGGTGCCATAATGTTAAAAGAAAAAAAAGAAAGAAAGAAATGAGGGCGAGGTCCAGGGATTAGGTGTATCAGAGTTGGGCAGTGAAGGCTGCTGTGTTGAGTAGGGTGGTGGGCGGCCTCCTCGAGAAGGTCATTTTGGCAAACTTGCAGGAGCCCTGGGAGTGCACCAGCAACTGGTAGGACAATGACAAGGGCAAAGGCTATGATATTAATGAAAGAGATTATTAAGTAAATGTAATGATCCCTAGCTCTTCCCTTAAGAAGGGCCTTGGCCGTCCCTCTGTCTCCCTTGCATTAGCTGCAGGAGAGGGTACCCCTGAAGGTCTCACTGTCGCCGTGGCAACCCCACTGCCATGATTGTGGTGCAGAGGTCAGGGGTTTCTGCCCCTGGGGATGGGTGGTCTGTGGAGCTGCTCTTACATGGACCAAGCACTGAAGCCCAGAGTAAGGGAGGGGCCCAGCCCGGGTGACTGGGCACCACAGCAAGCTACCCTGGCCTCCCAGGGTCAGGCTGGACTGTCAATGATTAATTCACACCAGGTGGCTGCTTAGCAGCCAGCACTAAGAACAAGTGACACACTCTTCTGTCAAAGCGTCTTGTCATGAAAAAGCCCTACCCTCAGAAGATTGGACTTGTGAGTACCTATAGCACAGGGCGCATCTGTAAGGGCTGGGGTGTGGCACTGCTCCTTGGGAGTTTTTCACAGACAACATCAGACCCCTGATTCTGTGCTGCTCCTGCACTTGCTTCTCAGGATCCTGGAGTCCAGTGATCAACTTCACTGGGGTGGTGACTGGGGCTCGTGAGGATGGCAGTCACCTTTGGATGGGACTTGCACGTCTCTGAAGCATTTTCCCACATGGATCTGTGTTGTCCTTGGATCCCTGCAGCAGCCTGGTGACATGGTTATTGTCCCCCCTTAGTGATGAGGGGACAACCTACTATAGGAGTGTGCACTCAGACTCACTCTTCACTGCCTGAGGGAGAGGGCTGACCACACCAGAGTGGGCCAGGGTCACAGGAGGTCCGGCCTGGGGCCTCCCGCGGGCAGGCTGACCTGAGATGCCTGCCTTCTGGCAGGAGCAGGGAACCTGCTGGCCCACCCTTGGAGGAGGGTTTGGAATAGGCACAGAGAGGGTGGGCATGGGGTCCCTGTACCAGCCCAGGAATAGGGGCCATTACAAGGACATCCAGGTGGGCAGTCCCTGTCAGGCAGCTGTGTCTGCAGGTCTGGGCAGGGAGTCATATTCAGATCGCTCCGTACTTTGGAAACAAGTTAAAAAATTAACTTTGGCTTTTCCAGTGGCCACATCTGTGACCTACCATTGAGCTCAGCTGCTCAGAGTCTCAGGGACTGGAATTATCTCTTGGTTGTATGCTTAGTTTTTGAAAGAAAATAATTTTTAAAAAACAATTCTTACAGGAATCCAGGTTTTTCCAAGACCATACTTTTTAATATATCTAAGACAGGATATCACCAACTTTGGGACGTCTAAAAGATGATTGCTTCATCAGTGTGGGCTTAGAGCAGTGGTCGGTCTCTGATGTGTTCTCAGAACCCCATGGTAAGAGCCCTTCCAGAAGGTCTGCCACCTACTTCCTGTAGGTCTCTGGTTAGGTCTCTTCTGAGAAGTGGATCCCTAGAAATCGGCTGTGTTGTTATGCCCTTGTGACTTTGCTGTTATATGAAAGCCTTTCTGTGGTTAACTTTTAAAATCTTTCTTTTTTTTTTCTTACCCAGATGAAGAGAAAAGGCGACCAGATATTTTCCATGCATTGAAAATGGGTAAGCACTTTAGAAAAATCTTTGTGGGGTATTGAAAGAACACGGGACCACATTCTCCTAATTTAATATTTATAGTCCTTTTTTAAGGCCACCCAGAGTATCTGAGAAAGGAACAGGCCATTCGTTGTTTCCTGAGTCTCCAGTTCACCAGGGAGTTCTCAGGCTCTGGAGGCCTGTATCCGTTATGGTGCTCTACCCATAGTTCCAGACTGCCCTCCCAGGCCCCTGCCTCGCCAGCCAGACGGTGAGGCTGGGCTGTGGCCTCTCCCTGCCTCTCTCTGCACGCCCACCACTCCATTCTTATTATGATAAAAGGCTTTTTGGCTTAAGATTCCCTCTTGGGATGCAGACTCCACCTCCAGGAAGCCTTCCCTGATCCTCACCCTCTAGCAGGACCTAGATTCTGCTTCTCCACGCCTGTTGCCCTTCATCTCTCTCCTTTGTCTGTTCTCTTAAGACACAGCACTTCCATGCATTCTTGTGCTGTCTTCATCCCACGTAGACTGAGGGATTCGAGAGAAGGGGATCCATCTTGGCTGACCCGTGGGTGCCCAGAGGCGGGATCAGCACAGGTGTGTGCTGAATGAGTCACCTGGATAAACCTGGGGCACTGGGACCATGGGTCACCCGGCCTCCTGCTTCTTTTTGCAGGAAACTTCCAGCTGGTCAAGGAGATTGCTGACGAAGACCCCAACCACGTGAACCTGGTCAATGGGGACGGGGCGACCCCGCTGATGCTGGCAGCCGTCACGGGGCAGCTGCAGCTGGTGCAGCTGCTGGTGGAGAGGCACGCGGACGTTGACAAGCAGGACAGCGTGCACGGCTGGACGGCCCTCATGCAGGCCACCTACCACGGGTCAGTGCCAGGTCCACCCCTCCAGGGTGAGGCTGAGCAGGTGCTTAGGGGCTCCTCCTGATAGGGATTCCTGGTCCCAGAGGCTGCATGTGACCTCAGGGCTGTGAAGATGGGGGGCATGTGAGAGAGAAAGAGGCCCAGTTTCTCCTTCCACATCCTGGATTCCCACAGCCCTGCAGGATTTCACTGGTGGCCCTGAAAAGCCATGTGGCAGGAGCACTTTGGGCAGAAAGATCACTCTCAGCTGCGCAGTGTGATTGGCTCATTCGGAGTTTTCACATTGAGCTATAGAGACCCCTGTCAGTGGCCCCTCTTCAGTGAACATGGGCATTCACACGTGGGCTTCCCTTGACATTTGGCAGTGAGTCACGCTGACCCTCTTTTGCACAACCTTCAGTGTGTGCTGGAGGTTTACAAATCCTTCTCACGCCATGGGGGTCGCCGGCTAAGGCCCTCACCCTCCTCTTCGTGGGCCTTGTAGCTGCTGAGTGTTCTGACTCTACTTGGGGGCCTTTCCTTTCCCTGTTTCTGGTGGTTGTCTCACTTTCCTGCATTACCTGGAAGTACTAACTTTTCTTACTTGATGAGTCTCCAACTTCCCTATCAAACATCTTGGCCTGTAGGAGGCTTTCGCCATGTGGGGGAAGAAGGGCATTCACCGGTGAGGTCTGCATGGGGTCAGTGGCCAAGGGCTTTGGGGGCAGAGCCCTCAATTGTTCTTCTGGCTGAGGAAGGAACATTAAGACTCTGGTTCAGATCCCATTTGCATCTGACCTGCTTGGGTGGCAGGGAGTGACGGAGCCTGAGACTGATTTCCCAGACCTGTCGCATGCTCAGAGATGGAGTGCAGAATTTTACACTGTCAGCCTTGTTACCCAGCCATGCTTTTGCTTTTAGTGGGTATATGAGTCAGTTTCATGTCACCATAGCAAAACACCTGAGGCAACTAGCTTATAAAGAAAAAAAAGGCTTAGATAGCACTGGTGTGGGGGGCAGCGAGTGTCTGAGCAAGTGCTCACGTCTCCAGCCAGGAAACAAAGAGACAGAGGCTGACTCCACTGTCCCATTTCTTGGCTCGTCCCCAGTAATCTGAGGAGTTCCCCTAAGGCTCCGTCTCCCACAGGTCCACAGCACCTCCTGGTACCTTCACCCTGGCCACCAAGCCTATAACACACAGACCTTTTGGGGACATTCAGTCTCTGAATATAGCAGTGAGAGTAACTCTGACTTTTTCTTTCCTCCCCAGGAACAAGGAAATTGTCAAATATCTGCTAAACCAAGGGGCTGATGTCACTCTTCGGGCAAAAAACGGGTACACGGCCTTTGACCTAGTGATGCTGCTGAATGATCCCGGTGGGTTACGGGTTGCAAATCTGCACATCCTTTCTCCTCTGTGAGCCATGTCTTAAGCCCTTGCTTCCTCATGGAGGAAGCCAGTCTTGAGGTGTCCAGGGCTCACCTCGTGACCTTGGGCCAGGCACATCCCTCCCCAGTGAAGTGTGGGGCTTGGGCCCGGCGTCCCTGAGCCTCCTCCCAGCGCCAGCTCCTACACATCTCCAGGGAGTCGGGGCAAACCACGGTGTGTCTGCTTGCCTGGCCCCTCACGTCCTAGAACAGTATCTGCGCTTCACCTGCGTGACTCCAGAGGAAGCATGAAGGCCCCCTGACCAGCAGGATCCGAGATGGAGCAGTGACCCTCACTTTGTTATGTCGGGGGAAGCTGCAGGTCAAGGGTGCCAGGCCAGGGACATCAGCACATTAGCCTCTCTTGGTCCCTGGCTGGCACCTGCTGGTCCCCTTTAACCCTCCCCTGCTGTGAAGGGTCCCCTACCAGGATTGGGGCTTCCAGTTAGGGACAGGATCTCTCTGATGTGCCACCTCTCTTATTGCCCTGGAATTTCAGCTCTAAGGCAGAGAAACGCAGAGGCCCTTCTGAACCACAGGGTTTGAGCCCCATGCCAGGATCTCAGCTGCTGGTCATAGGGACAGAGAGGCCTGCCACCTGTGCAGTCCTGAGTGGGGGTGGCAGGCAGGGGTGCCCTTCCTAAGTGCCAGCACCATCCCCCGCCCTGTCCCCTCCAGCAGCCCCTGTGCTGCCCTCGTAGCATGAGGACACATTCACCAACCTAGAAGCTCCAGGTATTTCCTTCTGTGTGGATGTGATCCTGGGGATTGAGCCAGGATCAAGCTAGGCATTGCTGTGCCACCGGCTACATCTCCAGCCCCCCGTATTTTCTTCTTCATATTTTTCAATGTTTTCTTTGTTTAATAACTTAGGTTAATAATAATAGCGTTTAGCCTCTGTGAAGCTCTTGCTGCATGCCACACATATAAGTGTGTGAAAGGAATTTCCTTGAATCCTCAAGACACATTTATGTGGTGGGTGTCCATATCACCCCTCGTAAATAAGCACAGAGAAGCTGCACAGTACACCTGGGATCACACAGCCAGGGTGGGGCAGAGGCAGGATTTGGGCCTCTGCAGTGGCCTGCCTTGCTGGGTTTTACCCTGGTCAAGGAGGTTGAGCCCGCGGGCTTGTCTGTGCCACCGTGAAGATCAGGTGGGCAGCAAGAGTTGAGCTCCTGGCTCTGCAGCTCTGCCCCTCCTGGTGAGGCTGGCGAGGGTTGGCTCGGCCCCCTCCCCAGGGCCCAGCAGACATATATTCAGGTAAAATGCTGCCTTTTGTGTCCGTAGACACGGAACTTGTTCGACTGCTGGCATCTGTCTGCATGCAGGTGAATAAGGACAGGGGCCGGCACAGCCGCCCGCCCCCGCTCGCCTCGAAGGTCAGACAGCCCCCCAGCCTCCCCGTGCTGCCTGACGACAAGGGTGGGCTCAAGGTTTGTCTTTCCCTGTCTTAAAGGGACTTGGGGGCCAGGGAGGTGGGGGATGGGGAGAGCCTGCTACTTCCTGTTAATAGGGGACTGGTTCAGTTCGGGGGCAGGGCCCACAGGGCTGACAGGTGAGTTGGGGTGAGCAGTGGGAAATGGTGGGGTCCAGGGAAAGCTGGGGTGATCATAAGCAGCACTGGCCATTTTGTAAGGATGTGGGTCCACGTTGCCAGATCTTCCTGATTTTTTAAAAGAGGAACCAGGACTCCAGGTTTTGCAGTGGAATCTCCATTTATAAATGGAGGGAATTAAAAGCATAATTTCCCACGAAGAAGTCCTAAGCTGGCCAAACTGCACCTCTTTGCAAGGTGTTGTTCTGCCTCTGCTTCGCTGTGCCACCTGGGTCTCCCCTTGGCCCACAGACCCCTTCTGCTGCTTCCTCGGGACGCCCCAAACAAACTCTAGTTGCCGATTTCTAACTGCAAGCCAGCAGTCTTTCTGCTATGGCTTCTGTCTCCCCCACTTGGCTCTCCTTGTTTAAAACCAAGCTTGTTTTATTCCTGGGAATGCAGGCGGGGACCTGGCCTGGTGCGCTGACTCTAGTCCTCTAGTGCAGTCCTGCCTTCCCTGCCCGTCATGCAGGTCTCCTCTCCCCTCCCCAGGTGGGGTCCTCTGAGCAGTCCTGGGCCATCTTCTGCTTTAGCTGATCCTTCCCCATCCAGAGACACCAGGTGCTGAGCCTGGGGTCCTGATGACCCGGGACTGCTCAGAGGCCAGAAGGAGCTCCCTGTGGAGCAGGAGGAGGGGGCTGTGCAGTAGGCCCCTGAAGGAGTGTGGACTTTGTGTCTGTCCATCTGCACCTGTCTTGCTGTAAAGCCTTGAGCAGCTCACCCCGCCCGCGTCCCCGCCCACCCCCTTTGGATCTGCATTTTTCCATCTGCAGCGAGGAGACTGAGCAGATGAGGGAAGGCCACCGGGTTCCCAGAATCCTACTGGAAATGGTCAGGAAAGATTTAGTTGGACGACCAGGCTGGTCAGGCAGGGGTGCTATGGCTGTGCCCAAGACCTGGGTGGGCAGGCTGGCCTAGTGTTGTCACTGTCCCTGGCCCGCCCTCCCGGGCATCGCTGGAACATGACCCCTCTCTGGTTCCCTTGATAGTCCTGGTGGAACCGAATGTCCAATCGGTTCCGCAAGCTCAAGCTGATGCAGACGCTGCCCCGCGGGCTGTCCAGCAACCAGCCCCTGCCTTTCTGTGATGAGCCCGAACCAGCTCTGGACTCCACAATGAGGGCAGCCCCCCAGGACAGGACAAGCCGCCTGGGGCTCCCTGATGCAGCCCCTGTGACCAAAGACAGCGGTAAGGAAGGCCTGCTCATGGGTGGGGCTGTCCAGCAGTCTGCTCTGCACCTGCCGTCCTGCGTCCTGCCTCCTGAGCCTGGGAGGAGGCCATGTGGGAATGTGGCTCTGGAGCAGAGCGCTGGTGTGGGCACAAGGGGCAGAGGTGGGACACGCCCCTGTACATAAGATGGGATGGGCAGAGCTGGCCAGTGCCCAGGTCGCGGGTTCCTGTCCCTCATGCCTCTCATCTTGGAGAAGCGCTTTTTCCTTCTATCGAGTGCAGCTGGGCTGAGGCTCGGTGAAGCGTCTTGAAGGATGGGGAGTCACCTGTGGGGGTGGGTCGTGAGCTCGCTGCCACCGGGGCCTTCAGCAGACTGGACGTCTTTGTCCAGCTGCTGACACATCTCCAAACTTGGGGAATATCGATTAGGTGAGATCCTGCGAACCGGGACCAGCTCCTTCGGCACCACTTGCCGAGACAGACTATTGAGCTGGGCGCTGCTGTGTCTTCCCCAGCACAGCAGTGGTTTATGGAAAAGCTTGAAAAACGCTCCTAGATGCCTTTTAGATGCTTGCCTTCTATTAAAATATTGAATACCAATTATTATTAAATATTTAGCCACTCAGGAGAGCCGGCTTTCCAGAGGAAGCCTGCCAGTCACTCACCCCCTCCCCACAGTCATGTGGGAGGGTCATTTCAGGAAATTTCCATTTGTCTCTCAGGTCCCGGGAGCACAAGAGGAGAAAAGGAGGATGCATTATTGACCACCATGGTGAGTGGGGGGGGCCTTTCTAGAAGCACGTCAGTCTCTGCCAGTCACCAGGTGATAAAGGAGAGATGTGGGCACTGACCTTCCTTCCTGGTGGCCACAGAGGGGGCTGGTGATCAAATGTGTTGCAGAGGGAACATCTCTGGCACCAAGGAGTCGGGACAGATGCCAGCCCTAAACCCCAAGGCCCTGCGGCTCTCGGGACCAGACCTGGGTTCTCGGGCTGGGGCTGAAGGGTAGACCTGATGGGCAGATCAGACATGAAGACTCTCCACTGTGGTTACAGAGAGTCAGGGGAAAGGAGGCAAGAGGAAGGGTGCATTCCCAGCCTGGGAGAGGCCTCACTTTCCTAATCTATAGACCAGAGATGTATCAGGATTAGATTCAGCAGTGAGAATGAGCAAGTCCCTGAATATGGTGGTATACATAAGGCAGCAGTTTATTTCTCTCAAATAGAGTCTAGGCACTGTGGAGCTGGGGACCTAGATGCCTTCTACCTATAGTTCCCCACGCATGAGTTCTATTCCCAAGGTCGCCTCCTGCTCCACAGTGGGTGCCAAAGCTCTGGCTGTTACTGCCTAATTCCAGCCAGCAGGGAGGAGGGAGAAGAGGCGGCCAGGGGTCCATGCCAGCTGTCTTTGAAGAAGTTTCCTGGAAACTTGCACACATCACTTATGCTTGTATCAAATTGGTTAGAATTTGGTCACATGGCTCCATCCTGCTGCCTGGGAAGCCGGGCAGTGAAGCCTGTTCCAGTTGGTCATGTGCCCGAGTAAATACCACGGATGTTATTTCTAAGATGCAGAAGGCAGATACTGGCGGACAGTTTGCAGTTTCTGACTTCGGGGTAATATCTGTCAGGGTTGTGATTTTTAAATGAAAGCATCCCCAGGAAATTCTTAACCTGGTGCTTGGCCCAGAATAAGCTCTACTGTGTGACCTTGGGTATGTTATCTTGCCTCTCTGGACTTGGTGTTTTGTGGACTAAGAGCCTGGTCCTTCAAGTTCCTTTAGTGCTAAACCTGATGCTGGCCAGCAGAGGGCAGTATTGGAGAGGACAAGGGAGCAGTCACTGGCCCGGAGGGCAGGGCGTAAGCAGTGCCAGGGACTGCAGAGCCTATCCAGCCTCCCTGGCCCAGGCAGCCACATGCCCTGCCCTGCAGCAGGTGCACATTGATGTCCCCAACCCGCTGTGGGAGCTGGGGCTGCTCCACATTTACGTTATCAAACAGCAGCAGTTCCATTCGATAGGGAGTCAGAAATGCTATTATAGGAATTTTAGAAGATGCATAGATTCAAGAAAGGAAATAAAATCACCCTTGATTGCACACCCAGATAGAATCGTGGTTGACATTTTGTGGTATATATCTTTTGAGTATTTTTCCTAAGCATTTTTTAGCATCTATGAATATGATATCATGTTATGTATAATAATAGCAAATACCACAGCACTTACTAAATACCAGTCACTATTCTGGGCGCTTTACGTATATTAACTCATTTAATCTCCCAGAGAGCCCTAGGAGGCTGACAGGATTACCTTCTCCCCTTGCTGTCTGGGATCCGATTTATCAATTCACTGGGACCCACTGTTTTCGTGTCATTAAACACTCTTTAGCCACATCCTGTTTAATGACCCAGCGACAGGACATTCCATCTGGAGTGTCTTTCTCCAAGACGGGCCCATTGGACTTCAGAGCGTCTAGTGTTTGATGTCTGGACGTCTCTGTGGACTGTCTCTATTCCTCCGTTGCCCCACTGCCTCATTGTTTCTCAGGGTCAGTGTCTAGAAATGGAACTCCCGGGCAAAGGGCGTGCATGTCGTTGGCTTCCGAAAAGGCTGCAGCAACGGAGATGGGTAGCCGGGAGTGGAGGCCCCATGCATGGTGGGTTTGCAGCCGTGAGGGTCCAGGCCAGCCCCCTATTTGCCAGATGAGGTTGTTGAGTCTAGAGGGGACAGAGCCCATTCACGGACCCTACAGAGGCAGGACAGTCTGTGTGGGAACCCAGGAGGCCTGCTCTCCTGCCCTGTAGGTCTCAGGGGCCATGCTCGCTGCCCCACAGGGGATGGTGGATGGCCCGTGGCCCTTCTGGCCCACTGAGTGGGCGTCTGCAGCCACCGGCACAGAGCTGCTGCCTGCCCGGCTCCCGAGGCGGGTTAGCTGTCGGGTGCCAGTCCCCACCAAGCGCCATCTGGCACAGCGTTCGCTTGTCTTCTCTTAATTAAAGCGAGCGTGGACTGTGTGAAGGCTTTTCCTTGACAATCCTACAGTCATCACTGTGTGGATTTTATACTGACCCCCCCCCCAATCACATTTTCAAAATGTAAAATTAAATTACAGTTGAAAATGTCAGTGGCGGGAGGCGTGGCTGGGTGGGCTGGGAGGTGGGGGCGGGGAGGGGAGCGTGCCTGGGCTGCAGCCCCTCACCTTCCTCCCCCAGCCCAGCTCTGCTCAGGCTGGGGGCCCTGCAGCTCTGCACCCTCTCCTGCCCACCTGGTCCCGGGCCGTCCTGTCCTGTGCATCTGGAGTGCTCCCTCCTGTCTGCCCCCCTACCCCCGCCTCACCACGCCCTCCCTCGGGCTGGGTTCAGGCCACCCTCTGCGTTCTCTCCTGCAGCAGGTGCCCCTGCCCTGCCCTCCCCATGTCCTCTCCTTGCAGCAGGTGCCCTTCCTTGTGCCCCCACTGCCATCTCTTCCTTGGCTCCCTGTCCCTCTGTCCCCCCCTGTCTTACTGTAGCTCCGTGGGGTGCTCAACCCTTTCTAGGAGGAAAACTGGCTCCTGGCTTGGGTGGGTAGGTGGCTGGTGGTGGTTCTGAGAGCAGGCGAACCCTGTCCTCCCCAGGGCGGGGTGGCCCTGTGGGGTTTGTCTCACCCGCAGTCTGTCTTTGCAGCTGCGAAATGGAGCCCCCTTCACCAGACTCCCGAGTGACAAGCTGAAGGCCGTCATCCCCCCCTTCCTGCCCCCTTCCAGCTTTGAGCTGTGGAGCTCTGACCGGTCCCGGACGTGTCCCCACGGGAAGGCGGACCCCGCGAAGACTGTGCTGTCCCAGAGAGCCAGCAGGGGCCACCCTGGGGGCAGTGGGGGCACTGACACGGTGAGTCACCGCCCACAGGCTTTTGCCCCACCCCTGGGGTTCCTGATGTGTGGCAGGCAGAGGACCTCAGGCCGACTGGCCGTCCCCTGCCTCTGTTGTACAAGGAGACGTGCAGCTACCCAGGGCGGGGCCACCTGGGAAGCCAGCATGAGCCCCCTCCTCATCCTTGGCTTAGGCACCTCTCGGGCAGGTGTGAGGAAGGGGACAGCACTCACAGGTCTTGGGGACTGGGCACCCAGGCCAGAGCCAGGAGGGGTGGACAGTGGGGAACGAAGGCCCTGGGAGCTGGCAGGTCCCTGGAGATCCCCCACAGTGGCCACAGTGATGTGTGCTCAGGCTGTGACGTGAACGGCAGTGGGCTGGTGGGGGGCTGGGCAGGGCCCCCTGGAGCCCTTGGCAGGGAGGGTCTTAGGGACCTGGGGCAAGGGCCAGTGGTGCAGGGCCAGCTGCATGGATAAAGTCCCTAAGGTGCAAAAGGGACCAGCCAGGAAGCCAAGGAGTTCCGTGTGATGGGCAGAGCAGATCAGGTCATAGAGGAGCGAGGCCAGCGCTGGCATTAGGGACCCAGGGAGCAGGAGGCTCTGAGCAGGCTGGGGGAGGGGAAGACATTCCAGCCAGGGACCGGAGGGGACCCCTTGGGAGAAGCAGGCTGGGATACGGGAGGTCACTGGCTGTTCTGGGCCGAGGGGTCTCGTCCTGGGAGTGACTGGGCCTGCCTGGGGTTGCCAGTGAAGACACGGTCAGGTTCTCTTCTTGAAGGGCCCTGAGGGCAAGTGAGACCAAAGGGAATGACGTCACACAGGCCCAACCTGAGCTGATAGGTTCTCAGAAGATGGGACTGGGCTCCAGGGGGTGGGCAGGCCTGTGCCGGGCAGGGCCAGCCTGCGCCCTTTGTGGTCCTGTGCATCCACGGGGAGGAGCCACTGTCCCTAACCACCACTCGGCCTTGTTCTTGCAGACTCCCGTCCGGCCAGTTAAATTTCCCAGTCTCTCCAGAAGCCCAGCCTCTCCTGCCAGTTCTGGAAACTTCAACCACTCGCCTCATTCCTCAGGCGGCTCCAGCGGGGTCGGGGGCATGAGCAGGCACGGCGGGGAGCTCCACAGCCGCTCAGGTGGGCAACAGGCAGCCGCCCAGGGAGGTGGGCAACCCCTTGGGCTGGGGGCTGCACTGGCCTGCTGTCCGTCTGCACATGGTCCCAGAAGTGGCCACGCGTGCTTGTGGGGTTTGCAGTGGGTGTTTGCAGAGGCCTTGCTGGGCGGGAGTCCTGAGTCTTTTGGGTTGGCTGTTGCAGTACTAGGGATTGAACCCAGGCCCTCACCCATGCTAGGCCAGCTCTCTACCACCGAGCTACACCCCTAGGCCCTAGATTCACATTTTCATGGATGTATGAGAAACTATTTTCTTCCCAACCACCGTTGATTACACAACTCAACTTGTTACGCAGAGTCCCTTATGCACCCATAAGTGACCAGCATTAAGATTTTGGTGTTGGGGGCTGGGGATACAGCTCAGTTGGTAGAGTGCTTGCCTCACATGCACAAGGCCCTGGGTTCAATCCCCAGCACCCCCCCACACACACACACACACACACAGATTTTGGTGTATATTTTAGCAAAGTGTCTTTATGCATATGAGGAATATTTTTCGGATGAGCAACTGGGTCTCAGGACAGTGAGGTAACTTGCTCAGCATCACACAGCTCTTCAGTAGCAGAGCCAGGACCCCGGGGGCCTGACCTCAGCGCCTGCTCTCATAGCCGTGGGCCTCCCTGAGCTGGGCGCTGCTGGCCCAAGGCGGGTGCTCTGTAAACAGCAGCTAGTGCTCCCTACAGTGCCAGCCCTGAGCGGTCACTGTCTCCCTTTGTTTCGTGACTCAAGGTTATGGGTAGCCTTGGTGAAATGGGAAGAGGGGAGAGTGGCCACTGGGGATGGATCCAAGAAGCAGACCACCCACAGGACCGTGAGACCCAGGGAAGAGCAAAACCAGGCTTTATCGTGCCCGCACAGCCTCTTTCCCACCCCGCAGCAGTGCCTCTGCAGCATGGTGGCCGCTGCCCGGCCGCCTCCCCCCGTCCTGGGAAAGCCTGGGCCGGGAGTACTCAGGCCTGTGGTGGTCATTCCTGTTTCCGTCTCCTCAGGTGGCAGCGTGGATAGCGTCTTGTCCCAGATCGCTGCCCAGAGGAAGAAAGCAGCCGGCTTGTCAGAGCAGAAGCCCAGCCAGCGGTCCAGCCCTGTGGGGCCAGCACCGGGGTCCAGCCCGTCTGAGCGTCCGGTCTCTCCTGCGGGCACCGCCGTTCCCAGCAGCAAGGTGCTCGTCCTGTGGCGACCGCTCCTCTTAGGCTCACAGACCCTGTCCTAACATGGCCCCCATGCTGGGCAGCACACTATGGACACTCACACACTGTCACCAGGGACAGGGGCTGTTGTGGAGAAGGGAGGGCATCAGGGACCTCTGAGGGGGGCTCAGAAGGATGGATGAGGAGCCAGCTGCAGGGCGGGCGGGGCGGAGCGTTGGTGAGCCTGTGGGATGCAGGAGCAGCTTCCTGGTGCTTCAGAGGTGAAGGTACCATACGGAGGGGCCGAAGAAAGGTGGGAGGGATGGCCGAGCCTCACCTCCCTGCTTCTGGTACCATTCCTCTATTAATGCAACCTGAGAGCAATCACCACACTTAGTGTCTCTGGAGTTTGCAGTGGGTGTTTACAGATGCCTTGCTGGATGGGAGTGTTTAGTCCCTTTAGTTTTTGATTTTGTTGTTTGTTTGTTTTGCAGTACTAGGGATTGAACCCAGGCCCTCACCCATGCTAGGCCAGCTCTCTACCACCGACCTACATCCAAGTCCCTAGATTTATGTTTTCATGGATGTATGAGAAACTGTTTTCTCCCCAATCACCGTTGCTTACACACTCTTTGTTATTCAAAGTCTCTTGTGGGGTGGGGGGGCTCTGAAATTAGGTTCCTTTTGCAATTTAGCTCCAGAAAGTTTTTCCTCCTGTACGCAGGAGCTTTATTTCCACTGTGTTCAGAATTGTTGGTGGAAAGGAACGATATAATTAAGTTCTTTTTAGAATTCAATGATAGTGGGGGGAAGGCTCCACTGATGTTTTGATATATTTTCTTTTATCAGTAAGAATTCATGTAATTTTATTTCTCTTTCTGTTTTTGCTGCTAGGAAGCCCACAACTACTCAAGTAAGTCTGATAGTCTGGGGCTTTTGAAATCGCTTTTCTCGTCTCTGTTGTCTAAAATTTCTGTTGTTTGATGATCTTATTAGATGTATTAGACATGATTAGCTTCTTTTAACTGGTGTTGGCAATAGGCAGGTGTCTAAGTTATAAATCACACTACCTATTATCTGGCTTGATGCGTCTGTCCTATCTAATCTATATGCACAGTTATTCTGATGAAAGAAAATGGACTCTTTCAAAAGATGCGTTCAGGAGGTAAACTTGGAATGATCCACTTCCACCATCACCTGATACTCTTAGCATGGTAACATGCTCTAACCTTGGCAGCTGTTTAAAAATTCAGGTTTCTGGGCTCCGCCCCACCATGCCTGAGACACTCGGGCTTTAGTCTGGGGAATCTGCTTTCCCCTAGAGAGTGGCTGGAGCCAGCTGCACCCAGGGCTCTTAGAGACCACTGTCCTGCATGGAAGGACCCAGAGCAGGCAGCAGCAAAGTGGAGACATGAAGTGCTTTTTAGAAACTCCCCGAGGAAGGCCAGAAATTAGGATTCAAAACAAGGGACGCGTGGATCTGGCCTAAGACAAGCCACATGCCGCCCTGGTGGAGTGTGCACGGGGCTGGCTTCCTCCACCCGCACGGTCAGTGTGCATCAGCCTTTGGACAGGTGGACAGGGCAGAGTGGGGGGCCCCGCCAGGCCCCACAGCCCAGGGAGTAGCCTCAGCTTTCTCTTCCTGCCCTAAAGGTCAGGGTTTCAAACAGGAAGCGCTTGTTGAGCTTCTGAACCTGTGGAGCGGCAGGTAGGTCTGGACAGTCCTGGTCTGGGGTATCCCTCACCTGTCTGACTGTCAGGCGGAGTGGCCAGGACAGCTGGGCCATGCGTGTCCACAGCAAGCTTGGACTTGTTCCCCTGGCAATGCCCAAAGCAAGATTGAAACCAGGCACGGTCTCTTAGTGCATCAACGTGCCACACCTGGGGGCACAGGGCTGCCTAGCAGAGGGTGGGGCTCTGGGAGGCCTGGAGATGACAGCCTGGGGACAGTCAGTCTGCCACAGCAGACAGGCAGAGGGCAGTTCCCATGTAAATAATCTCATCTTCACCTGTCCTTCCCGGTAATGCTGCCCCTGTGGTCCAGGATATCACGTCTCTTTGCTCTGGGCTGGGATAGACATGTCTTGTGGGATATCATGATTATCACCCGCTTAATCAGGAGCTCTGCTTGGGAATGTCTTTGTAGAAAGAAGCAGAGGAAGGGGTGTATTAATAAAAGTCTAAGTAGCTTGTTAAAAAGAATCTTTCAAAACCTAAGGGAGGGACTTCTTTTCCCACCCTGGGATGTAGTTAGCTAGCTAGAGCATTAAACGCTTCGTGGTAGGAAAAGTCGCACTTGCTTCCAGGCATGAAGACGGTTTCTCTTTAGTCCCTCCTGTGCTGTTCAAGATGTCTAATTTTTAGCAGGAATTACAAGATAAATAATAGTTAAAAACAAAAACACCTCAAGAAACAAAGCCGTTCTGAGAATAAGACTTAGGTATGACACAGGTGTTGGAGTTTTAAATAACTGTGACTGACGTGGTAAGGGCCCTAATGGAAAGTAAGGACACCCAAGGTCATATGAGTAACTCCTGCAGCAGAGAGGTCGAAATCCAGTGGAAACGCCAGAAGACACGGTTGCAGAGATGAGAACACAAGAGATATTTTTGACAGACTCGTCAAACCTGACACAACCAAGGAAAGAACCAGTGAACTTTTATATAGGCCAATAGAAAGAAATCACTCTAACTGGCTGGGCACAATGGTACACGTCGATAATCCCAGTGCCTCGGGAGGCTGAGGCAGAAGAATCACAAGTTCAAGGCCAGCCTCAGCAACTTAGCAAGATCCTGAGCAACTTAGTGAGATACTGTCTCAAAATAAAATCTAAAAAAAATTATTTAAGGACTGAGGTTGCAGCTCAGTGGTAGAACACCTCCGGGTTCAATCCCCAGTATGGAAGGGAGGACAGGAGGGAGGGAGAAATCACCCTGACTGAAATAGAGAAGGAAGGTATAACAAAAACTCCGGGCTCCCAAAAGTTATGAGAATGGTGAAGCAGAGGGAATATTTAAACAAATATGGTTGATAACTTCCACAAATTAATGACAGATAGAAATCCACGGATCCTTAAAGCTCAGAGAATCCTAAATAGGAAAATGCCAAAGAGAACAACACGCCTAGCTCTGTTATGTTGAAACTGCTGAAAACAAGATGAGAAAGTCTAACTAAAGGCAGCCAAAGAAAAAAGAAATTACACCCTCATCTTTAAACCGGCCTGAAAGAAAAAACAGAGTCATGCCATCTCATAAAATGAGCTAGGAGGTATTCTCTCCTCTCCTGTTTCTCTGGGCGAGGTTGTGGAGAATGGGTATTCCTTTTCCTTAAATGTTTGATAAGATGCGCCAATGGAACCAGCAGGGTTTTCTCTTTTGGAATTTTAACTTACAAAATAAGTTTAATAGAGAGAAGGCTGATTAGATGATCTGGTTCTTCCTGAGTACGTGCAGTGCTTTGTATCTTTCTCTTGTCTACATTGTGGCATTTGTGATGCGGAGTTGTGAGTAGTGCTCCTTCATCACCGTGATGTGGGGTCAGTAGGAAAATCTCCTTTTTCATTCTTGATGTTGGTAATTTGTGACTTTTTTTTGTTTGTTTCATCAATCAGGCTAAAAATTTATCGGTGTTATTGGTGTTTTCAAAGGATCATCTGCTTTCATTGGTTTTATTTTTTCATTTTCAATTTCACTGATTTCATACTGTTACCTGTCGTTTGCCTCCGTGAGCTTGCTTTGTGTCTTGTCTTCTTTAGTTTTTTATGGCAGAATTTGAGATTGCTCTGTAGCCATCTTCATCTTGTCTAGGACAAACGTTCGGTGCGGTGAAATCACCTCTCCAGTGCTGCTTTCCCTGTACCCTACACATTTTGATACATGTCTTTATTTTAATTACAGGCAAAATATTTTTTTTTCACTTCCCTCGATACTACCTCTTTGGCCCAGTATTTAGAAGCGTGTTTTTCATTTTGCTGTCATGTGGGGGTTTTCTAGAAGTCATTCTGTTCCTGGTTTCTTATTTCATTCTAGTTCTGTTTCTGTTCCTTGGGGTATATTGAGGTCTAGTTTACTCCCTGGATGGCGATTGATCTTGGTGAGTTTCCCGAATGCACTTGAGGAGAAGGTGTGTTCTGTTGTAGTAGCTGGGCAGGGGAGGCCCCGGAACTGTCAGGTCCACTTGGCTGGTGGTGTCCTTCAGGTGTTCTGTGTGCCTGCAGATTTTACGTCTGCTTGTACCAATTACTGAGAGAGGAGCGTTCAAACCTCTCACTGTAACTGTGGATTGGTTATTTCTCCTTTCATTTCTGTCCATCAGTTTTTGCCACGGGTAAGTTGTGTACATATTTAGGATTGTTATTTCTCCTGGAGAATGACCCCAATATCGTGATAGAATGTCACGCTTACCCCCTGGAAACAAGGATACGTCTTTATGATGTTACAAAAAAAAAAAAAAAGAAAGAAAGTGACAGACTAGTAACCCTCATGAACATAAGTGTAAAAATCTCCCCAAAATGTTAGTAAACAGAATCCAGTGATACATAAAAAGGGACACACGCTGGCTAAGTGGCATTTATCCCAGGAAAGCAAATCTAGATCCACAGTAGAAAATCAATCCATGTGATTCACCAGGTTCATAGACTAAAGAATAAAATGCAGAAAAAGCACTTAACAAAATCCAAAGTCCAATGTGATCAAAACTGTTAACATACTAGGTAAGGAAGGAAACCTCCCGAATCTAATCTAAAACACCTCTCGCTGGCATCACACTTACTGGTGAAAGACCAAGTGTTCCTAGGATGGGGACCCAAGGACTTCTCACCCCCAAGCACTCTCAGTTCCATATTAGAAACTACTGCTAGCACAGCGAGGCACAGAGAAGAAATCAAAGGCATGCACATTGGAAAGGAAGAAATGAAGCCATCTCTCCTCCTAGAGGACATGACTGTCTACATAGGAAACTTCAGAGAATCTACACCAAAGCTCCCAGGACTAATAATGAGTTCCTCAGGGTCAGTGAACAAAAGTCAGTTGAATTTTTTTTTTATGCTAGCAGTGGATAAATAGAATTTATTAATCTGAAAGTTAAAAAAATATCGTTCACAGGTTAAGGGCATTTGTGAAAATGAAATAATCCAAAGTTATATGGAAGTGAAATACTTAGGTGTAAACTTAATGAAACATGCAGAAACTATAGGTTGAAAACTCTGAAACACTGATAAGACAGTGAAGCCTAATATAGTTGTGTTGCAGCGTGATCTACAGATTCAATGTAATCCCAATCAAAATTATGCTTTGTAGGGATCTACAAATAATTGTGAAATTTATATTGAGAGGCAAAAAAAAAAAAAAAAAAAAAAAGACCCTAAAGGAGCCAAAAGGATTTTTGGGGAAAAAAAATGAAATTGGACATCTCATACTAATTTTAAGACTTCCCTTAAAGCTATACTGTGTATTAATGAAAGAACAGACACACAGATCAATGGAGCAGAACAGAGGGCCCAGGAATAGACCTGCACAAGACTTGTTCACGTATTTATTTATTTATTTTTAACAAACCAGTAAAGTCTTCTCAGCTGAAAGCTCTGGAATAATCAGATGTCCACACGCAAGAAAATGAACCTCCCCTCACGTCTCACTGCTAATATAAAAAGGAACTTGAGATGCATTATAGACAAAGTTGAAAATGAAAAACTATAAAGCTTCCAGGAGAAAACACAGGAGCATGTGTGTGTGACTATGGATTTGTCAAAGAACGTAAGCACTGGTTACCTGGGTTCCTGTGCGTTCACGTGTTTCCTTGCTCCTCTCGTAGGTGAGGCCCCGTGAGCCATGACATCCCAGTAGCAGTGAGCAACCTGGTGCCCAGACTTTGGTTTCAAATACCATTCTCCAACAAAAGGAATCACAGCGCTTTGGCAATGGCTCATTCCCAGTACTGAGGCAGAGGAAATGCAAGATGAGCATGTTTTGGTATCAGAAAATAGGGAAGGAAATGCTTTTTTAAAAAGGCGGGAGGAGGGAGGGAGGGGTGCAAGGTGTTAAATCAGGGACTGCAGGAGAAGTGTGTGGAAGCTCTTGTATCTTTGCAGATCTTCTGTGCATCTAGAATTATTTTCATATAAAAAGCTCTCTGACTCTTGCTCACTGCTACTGGGATGTCATGGCTCATGGGGCCTCACCTACGAGAGGAGCAAGGAAGTATGTGAACGCATAGTAACCCAGGTAACCAGGGCTGTCAGTACTGTATTCCTTGACAAATCCATAGTCATACAGATATGCGCCTCTGTCTGTCTCTCTCTGTCTTTCTCTCTCTCTCTCTGTCTCTCTCTCTCAAGCTAAACAATCAAAAAAGGAGAGGGGAGGAGAAAGTGCTGAGTGTCCTTTGGGGAGACGTGGGAGGGTGGTAGCATAAAAGCAACACACGGAGAGCAGAAGGGCCTTGTGTGTCTGTCGGAGCCAGGCAGCTGGGGCCCAGGAAGGAAAGGGGACTCTGCCAGGGTTGCAATGCTGGTAGCTGCAGGGACAAGCTTCCTGGCCCTTAACATGCCTCTTGCCCCCCCACAGCTCTGCTCCCAGTGGATATCCCCGTAGCTGTGTCCACTTTGCATAGGAAGTAGATTCCAAGGTCCTGGCCCGGCATCCTGTTGTCGGAAGCCACCTGCGCTCCCTACCGTGGCTCACTGCTCTCATCCTTTCTGCCTCAGAAGCAACGGCTTATGTTCTCTTCAGCAGAAACTGGACACCAGCCAAAGGCCGGCCTCTGGAACCTCCTCGACCTCCAAAAGCACCTCCCCGACCCTCACGCCCTCCCCTTCACCCAAAGGGCACGCTGCGGAGTCCTCCGTGTCCTCCTCCTCGTCCCAAAGGCAGTCCAAGAGCAGCGGGGGCTCCAGCAGTGGCACCATCACAGACGAGGGTGAGTCCCCAGCCCTGAATCTCCGGCTGTTCCCACTCCATGGTGCCCTGGCATCAGAGAGCCACCAAGTGCCCTGCATTGCTACATCCTAGGTCAGGTTTGTTTGTTTTTTTTAAACAAACCGTCTCACCCTTCCCAGATTCTACTTGTATTTTTGTCTTCACTGCGCTAAAGGTGTGGTTACGCGCTCTCACATGGTTTTTGAATATAGGTGAGTTTTGTTTATATGCACACACACCCATGGACGGGCTGCTCCAACGCAGAGTTATCTGCTTTTCCTAAACTTTCTACAAATCAGGATTATTTCAATTACAAGTGAGGGGATCTCAGTGACTTAAGGGGGAGAAGTGCCTATGGTGGGCTTCAGGCATGTCCAGATCCGGGTGCTCTGGAACTGTTTCCCAAGTGCTGATAAGCATCTTCACGCTTACTGTGTTTTCCTGACTAATTTTACAACCCCAGCAGAAAAGAGCTACTTTCTTAGGAGGTCCAAGCAAAACCCTAGAGGGTTTATCTTTTGCTCCTCCTTGGCCATCCTTGTCTATCTCTATGCCCAGGTGGTGGGATGTATGGATGGGGGGGCTCAGGTCTGGCTTCTGCCTTGGGAGCGGATCCGGGTCTGCCCTGCTGACGTGGTGTGGATCAGAAGAGGCAGAGAGATGCTCCTCAGAGGAAGGTGGAAGTGCCATTCCAGGAGGGAATGGGCCCAGGCAGGCAAGGGCCCCCAATGTCCACTGCAGCCAGGGACACTGCCTGTGGAAGGTGCTACCAGGTGCATTGCTGGTAGCTCAGCGGCTCCTTGCAGGTGCTGGGGAAGGAGGTGCCCACAGCTTCTACAGCGCAGGGTGAGCTGGAACCAGCCGCAGGGCCCTGGCCACGCTGGGCTGGTAGATGCCCACTGTGGCCGGCACCGTCTTTTTCTGGGGCCTGCCTCTTCTACTGTTTGGTGAAATCCAGTTAATCAGTTACAGAGGCTTCAGAGATCCACCAGCCACCTCCCTCTGCCCCCCACATGTCCCGCATGGAGTCTGAAGTCCCCCCTTGAAGGCCTTCAGGAAACTGAAACCCTGGAGATGCAGGCTCAGCCATTTCTCCTGTGTCTTCTCCCAAGAGTTGATGCAGGACCTGTTTGTACCACCCATGCCCATCCTGTCCCTCTCATTGTTATAAAGAAGGTTTGCAAAGCACTAACTGGATGGAAGAGAACCAATAGCGATTTCTTTCTAGATCCGTGTTTCTGGTTTAGAGAGCCTGGTTTTCCCTTCTGCAGCCCTGGGGTCCTGAGGCAGCGAGACCTGTAGATTGTCACAGGACAGGGCTGCAGTCTGTCCCAAGCAGCTGTTCTTTACGCGGTTCTCTTGGGAAACGAGTGGCCCCTCGTGAGGACCCCATGCAGATGTCACCCTGCCCCATCTTTCCACCCTTGCCCCCTCTCTGGACTCTTCCTCGTGGAAGCCACGGGGCCTGTGATATCTCCTACTTGGGCTTGGGATGTGCTCTCCTCCCGGGGGCCTTGTGCTGGGTGTCAGGACAGCTCACAGGGACTTGGTCGGCCTCGAGATACCATGTTGCAACACAAGACGCAGCCAGACCTGTGTTCCTGGGACAGTCCAGTGTGCCCTTCCGGCTTCAGGAAGAGCGGTCCTCCCGAGGGCCTAAGAGAAGATGGGGCAGCGTGCACCATCCACTGCAGCCAGGGACGCTGCCTGTGGTACCTGCCTGTGGAATGTGCGACCAGGTGCATTACTGGTAGCTCAGCGGCTCCTTGCAGGTGCCGGGGAGGGAGACACTCACAGCTTCTGCAGCGCAGGGTGAGCTGGAACCACAGGTGCACGGGGGATGTGAGAGCGGCCGAGCAGCACAGCCACTAGGAAAAGCTAAACCACGTGCCTTTACAATTAAGGTCTATCAGATCCGAGCAGCCCTGTGTTTAAAACACCATGCATGTAAAGCCTTAGCACACTTGGCTATTACCTGCAGCCTGGAGGTTTTCGTGGTCCCCATGTCTGCACGGCAGGCACACCAGGCGTGTGCTGATGGTCACCGCTCTGCCCTCTTCCCAGCTCCACTTGCGGGGACAGTACCTTGGCAGTCAGAACCAGCAGCCATGGGGGTATTTACACCACAGAAATCGGCAGGCACCACCCATCAGGGCCTGACGGATTGTGTCGTAGATTGTCCAGATGTAATTCAGACAGAGATGGGGAAAAATGCTCATCGTGAAGGTCCACCTTAAAATCGTGTCACTCCCGAAGCCATCACATCATGAAAGCGTGAAGAAATCGAGGATCTGTTCTTCATATTTGAAAACCATTATCTGATTCAGCCAGCTTGCTCACATGAAGTTCAGGCATATGTCTTTGTTGTTGCATTTCATCTTTGTTCACGTAAACAGAACTACCAACCAGCATTCACGTTGGAACGGCTCTCCTTGGCTGTGGATAGCAGAGCAAAGATGGGTGGAAAGCATTTGGTGAGGAGCAGCAGTCGGCTGTGTGGAATTCGCAGGAAGGAGTATCGTGTATTCCTGTTTGAGAACAGTGCTGTGCCTCCTTGATATCAGGGAGCTCTGGGATGAATCTAGGTACCCACATAAACGCACGCACTTCTGCCTCGGAGAGCCCTTTGTTGCTGTGGAGGGGACAACGTGGGCGGGGCCAGCAGAGCAGAGAAGCTGGTGTCATGAATGACAGGGGACAAGGGTGGCTTGAGGCTCAGTTTCTCAAGAGCCTCCTTCAGGGCAGCTTCCTCCAGTCCCCTGGGCTGGGTCCAGTGCCCTCTCTGTGTCCACATCCCCTTTGTCCCTACCCTTCACTGTAGCACATGTCACACGAGAGAAGTGGCACAGCAGTGCTGAGCACCTTCCAGGAAGCCAGACCACAGGGGACCAGCAGTACGACCACAGCCAAGATCTGTTCCCAGCCTCTCTGGGCCTCACCTCCCTCTCCTCCTCTGGGAACGGGGAAGGCAGTAGAGTCCACCTCGTGGTGGGGAGGCTTGAGAGCACATGGACCGTCCACGTGTAGGGTGCCCGATGGCAAGAACCGTCACCAGGGTGAGAGCGTTCATGCCCGTTGTTTTCTCTTCCCAGCCACCCTGAGCACTTGCTGTGGGGACCTCCCATCCTTGCCCACCCCGCAGGCAGCTCTTCAGACTCACCCACTGCCTCAGGACCTTTGCACCTATCAGGCCCTCTCCCTGGATGCTGCCTACTGGTCTTTCCTTAGAGACCTGCATAGTGTACCCCTTGTGCTGCTCAAGTGTCTCTCGATAAGGGAAGCCTTCCCAGTGACCCTCGGTGGAACAACACCCTCTGTCCCTTCATCCACCCTCACCCTGCTCTCTGCTTCCTCTCTCCCTGGGCCGTCAGCCTGCGTGGTGTCTGTTCTGGCTGAGCCTCCAGGTGCCTGGTGTGGGGACTCTGCGTTGCATGTTTCCTCAGCATCCAGACACTGGTCTGGGCCTTTATTCTGCCTGTTCTGATACCCAGCACCTTCCCTGGCCTGTCCCTCTGTCTTGTTGCTCCTCTCTGCTGTGTTCTTCAGACCTCTGCACACTTAAGCCAGCCCCCACTTTGGTCTGGGGCTTGCCTGCTGCTCCTTGGATTCCTTCTTAGACTCGCTGGCCTTGGCGTTGTCATTGGCTGTGTGTCATTGTCATTCACACGAGGAGGCGGGGCTTAGTCCCAGCTGTGGGCAGGGGCGCTCTGCGGCCTGGTGGGGGCGCTGCAGTATGGTCTTCTGGGCCGATCTTCCCAGGGTTCACCCGTGGCCGGGGTCGTGGCCAGCAGGTGGCTCAGGTCCCACTGCAAGCCTCCCGTGCAGGAGCGCAGCTCAGATCTGTGCTGGGGTTTCTTGTTGACTTTCGGGGGTCAGCTTTCATTTGAAATAAGATGACACTGTTCCGTAGTTGGAAGACCAATCTTGATATGTTTTACCAAATTCTAACATCCATTATTTTTGTTTCTTTCTCATCTTGCCTGCTTGAAGATGAACTGACTGGAATCCTTAAGAAACTGTCACTTGAGAAATACCAGCCTATTTTTGAAGAACAGGAGGTAAGAGTGTTCCTTTCAGATGTCCGTTTAAATCTTAGTATAGGGGAAAACAAAATAAATCTTTGTCTCAGTGTCTAGTTCGCCTTCAAGCCTGGATTGATCCTCTCCACCGAGTCAGCCCGGGACATGGAAGTCGGGTCCAGCCCCTCAGTCCAGTTCACCGTCACCGGGAAATCCTGGGGCCTGGGGCTGCTGCTACACTGCAATCGAATTTTGTAATCTGAGTGCTGCTCTCTCTAGAAATGTCTGTCCTGAAAACATTTTAGTTGCACAGGACTGAGGAGCAGGCACATAGGTTTAAAGTAGGCCATAAGCGAATCCTGAGGAATCTGCCAGAAGCGTCCGGACCTGGGGCCTGCGGTGATCTCAGAGTTCATATTAGCTTAAAAGCATGAAAATCCCATTTTTAAAAACAACTGCTCTGCTGTCTGGCAGGGCTTCAAAACGTTAAGCACAGAGTTACGGTACGACCTGACAAATCCACTCCTGGGTATGTCCCCCAGGGAGACGAAGGCACAGGTCCCCAGATGTCCGTGGCAGCCTTACAATGGCCCGAAAGTGGAGACAACTCAAATCTCCCATCACCTGAGGACGGATAAGGAAAATGTGGTACCACTCTAGTGAAGCATTTGACAACCGTAAAAATGTTACAGGCCACAGCGTGGGGAGTTGAAAGCATCATGCTCAGTGAAAGAGACCACCCACTGCTGGGCGCGGTGGCGCTCGCCTGTGATCCCAGTGGCCTGGGAGGCTGCGGCAGGAGGATTGTGAGTTCAAAACCAGCCTCAGCAATTTACCCAGGCCCTAAGCAACTCAGTGAGACCCTGTCTCTAAATAAAATATATAAAAATAGGGCTGGGGGTATGGCTCAGTGCTTAAGCACCCCTGGGTTCAATCCCCAGTAACAAAACAAAACAAACAAACAAAAAAACAAAACAAATGAACAAAACCGTCACCAAAGACCATGTTTGGTGTGGTCCCATTTATGAAGTGCCCAGAGCAGGCCAACCTGCAGAGCAGAACAGTGGTTGCCAGGGGCTGGGGGGGGATGCTTGGGGTCCAGGGTGACAGAAATGATCTACAGCTGACTATGGCCATAGCTGTGTCGCTAAAGGTCACTAAATTATATTCTTTAAGTGGGTGAGTTACATGATGGGTGAATTCTATTTCAATAAACTGTTGAAAAGTTTACTATTTTAGCCAAATAAGACTCTTCTGCAGGCCCACCGGCCACCCGGTCATAATCCCTGGCTCAGAAAGTTCTGGTGCCCATGGGCAGCTCATGGAAATCATCGTCCTTACAGTGCCCATTGTGACAGCCACTCATTGTCCCCAGGAAGGGCCAGACACAGCGAGGTGTTTGGGTTTTGGTTAACAGGTAGACGGTGCAGGGTGCCCTTCCTCGGTTTGCCTTCCGGCTGCGTCCCGCCTGCCATTCCCGCCTCCTCGGCATCTGAAACTTCAGTGACTTTTCTCACTTCCAAGAAGTCTTTCCTGGTGGCCGGGGGCTGCCTGCTTTTGCTTGAAATGCTCCATGTCCTCTCGGCGTGTGCCGGGCCCACACCCCGCGCACACTTCCGTCTCTTGAGGTGCCTGACTCTGCTTTATGAGGCGTCGCTTGTGATTTCGTGGCTTCGTCCCCATTTCTCCAGCTGGCAGGTTGGGGGGTCGCCTGTCACTCATCATTCAGGGGCATCATTTATGTCCAGGGCAGGGCATGGGGCTGAGTCCCACTGAGATAGGAAGCTCTCAGAGGTGGACGGGGGAGGGCAGGCGGACCTCGCTGCTCTGCGGCAGTTCTAACTGGCCATCCGCCGCCTCTGAGCTGGGCCTGCGGTGCTCCACGGGGGGCTGGACTGCTGGCTGGAGATTGCTGTGCCTGCTGGGCCAGCGTGAGGTTGGCTGGGACCCTTCCCGGTCTCCCCGACACGGGCTGCCCTTCTCAGGAGCCACGCTCAGCTGTCGGCTCTGGCTCGGCTTCTCCCTGGGCAGTTGGGCTGGTTCGCACCAAGGGAGGCGGGGTTCGCCTCTGTGCAGAACCACAGCCAGCATTTCCCTTGGAGGCTGCAGTTGTCCCTCGCCTGCTCCTTGTCCCTCACCCTCACCTCCAGCCCACTCCCCACAGCCACACGGACACTTCTTGTCCCTTGAAGTGAATTGTCAGGGACAGGTTTTGGTTGACAGACGGTGCTGGTTCCTAGTGCTGGTGAAGAATTTCTCCCTGTTGTCATGTACATACGCTCATCAGTGAGAATTTGGAAAAGAAATTAGGTGGTACATGTGCTCGTCAGAATGAAACTAAAGACAGTAATTTTCATTTTCCTACCTGTGTCAGGATGCATTTGATTTGGCGACATGTATTCAAAAAATAATGGTATCTTCTCTCTGCTCCACACACTGAGGTATCTGGCCATCATCCCCAGAGCCCAAAGTGGCTCTTAGAAATCCAGCCATCACATCTACATCCCATATGCGGGATGGGACATATAGAATCGACTTTACATGGGGGTGGAGACCTGTTGTCTGTCCCCTGTTTCTAAGGCTCCACTGTTCCAAATGCAGGTGTGCTTGTTTCTGCCGAACCACTTTCAATCTTCCCTTCGCCCGGCCCAGAGGCCCAGAGGCCTTTTTCCTGGAGCAGAGCCCCGGGGCCCAGGCAGGCTGAAGGGCTGTTAGAGCTTCCCGAAGAAACCGGGGACTGTGCAGTTTTGAGGCGCTCTTCTGGCATCTCTCCCTTGGTTCCGTGGCCTTCTCTATTGATCCTGCTTATTACTCTGTCTTTCCACAGTCTGCGCCCCTCTTGTCCTCCGAGGGGGAAGCGGGGTGAGTACTGCCCACCACATTCTTCTCGCAGCCTCCGGTGTTGCCAGAAGCGCAGCCATGTCGGAATCCCCCTTCTAACAGCAGGACCTGGCGCGGACAGACCTTGCAGGCTGCCCAGGTCCTGCCTCAAAGACGCCCCTTGGTTTTCCAAAAATATGTCTGTTTGGAGAAGCCAGGAGCTGAAGGGGGTTGGCTTTTAATGTTTCCAACCAAACTTTAAACGTGGAGTCCAGAATTGGAGGCAGAAGTCAGGATCGATTCCCTACTAATAAGCACTAATAGCTCCCAATCGTGACGTCCCTGTTGAAGTGGGAGAATAGTGTGGCCCCAACAGACGGCAGCGAAGCCCCTTCTCTTCCCAGGTGGACATGGAAGCGTTCCTCACGCTCACCGACGGCGACCTGCAGGAGCTCGGCATTAAGACAGATGGATCCCGGCAGCAGATTTTGGCAGCCATCTCTGAGCTGAATGCAGGCAAGGTATTGTTCCCAGTCTTATTTCTCTCTTGTTCCAGGCTTCCGGAAGCTTCAGAGGTGGCATATCTGATGGAGGCTGGCCCCACTTGCACAAGTCCCCGATCTCCCAGGGTGGCCTCCTCCCTTTCCTATCCGTGAGGTGGTTGCTCCTCAGATTCAGCTAAAACATTCCCTTGGTTTGCCAGCCCAGTGGCGCACGCCTGTAATTCCAGGAGCTGAGGAGGCTGAGGCAGGAGGATCGCAAGTTCAAAGCCAGACTCAGCAATGGAGAGGCACTAAGCAACTCAGTGAGACCCTGCCTCTAAATAAAATAGAAGACAGGGCTGGGGATGTGGCTCAGTGTTTGAGTGCCCCTGAGTTCAATCCCTGGTGCTCCCCCCCCCCAAATACTGATATTCCCTTAGGTGACTTCCGCCCCCAGGAGCAGGTGTGGCCTCAGGAGCAGTTCAGGGGAGCCTTGGCTCACACAGGCCCTGAGCTGGCTAACCTGGCCTGGAATCCTGCTCTGAGCACTCTGCTCTGAGCCTCACTGTCCCCATCCCTCGGGGTCCATAGGACGGGCGTGATGGGGTTGTCACCAGAAAGCCCAGTAGGACGCCTGGCACACAGAGCTGTCCATCACGGCTGTTGATATCAGATCCCCGTCAGGTTTCTGTTTCATCCCCTTTAAAGCTGAGGATCAGTGGTGCCCCCACACCCCGACCAGAGGCCCACAGAAACCCAAAACAAAGGGGCCCCAAACTCAAGACCAAAAGGGTGGATCCTGCTCCTTTGTGAACATCCATGTGGGTGCTGCTGGGCTCCTGGCCGTGGCCTGTCCCCTCCCAGTGAGTTGCTGCTCACAGTGGCTTTCCCACGCTTGCCCTGCCAGCTGCCTGCCTGTGAGACAGCTGCACCGTGGCTGCAGCTTTGCCGGCCTCCGTGTGCTGGCCTCCGTGTCCTGCCGTGGACGTCTCTGCCTCATGCCTTTCCGCCTTTCCCTCCCCGTTGTCCTGGGGCTGTGCTCCCTGCTCTAGGTCAGGGCAGAGAGCGTGATGGTTCTTTCCGTGTTTTGCTGGATTAAGCAGGAAATATTGAAATATTGAAATATTGCAGCCCCGGCTGCAGGTGAATCTTCATGTAGCCTTTTATCCTGTACAGATCACTCGCGTCCTCAGCGGCCCTCAGTAGCCGTGGAACAGATCCCTGAGCCTGAGAGCCTCGGCGTGTGCACTTCTCCCTGAACTTCTTTCCAGAAAGCCCCTGGCCGTGGGGTGTGTAGTGGGGTGGGCTCTCCTGCAGTCCCACCAGCAAACTGGCAGTTTGTTTTCAATCATCATAAATTTGACAGACTAAACAATGTACCTCGTTTTCATTTGCATTTCTTTAAGAACTAGGTTGATTGAGTCCTTTTTTTCTATATTTAATGGCCTTCGTTTGGGAGGGGGTTTGTTTTTTTTCCTTTTGCGAATTTTCAGGCAGGGCCTTTGAAACTCAGGGATTTTTTAAAGGACAGTCATCATGATCGTCTTGGGTTGGCCTTGGACGCGGAGTGATTATTTTCTTTATTATCTACAGCTCCCTCCTGGGGTCAGGAGGCAGTGGGCAGGGAACCCTGTCTCGCCCTGACCTCATTTCTCAGCAGTTATTCTCAGCAGTTATGGCTCAGGTGGTGAATAATGAAGCTCTTACTGTCCCTGCTTCTCAGCCCTGTTCATTATCTCAGGTGGCACTTCATAGTCACCCCGGAGGTTGCGCTCACCCCATTTTGCAGATATTCAGTGGAACAGGGCGGGTCTGGGATGCTACTGTGCGTCACTGATGGGTGGGGATTCCAGGCCTGCCCATGGCACCCTGCAGCCTGCAGATTTCTGTGGCTGGAATCCTGGCACTTTTACCAGCTTATTGAAGGTGATCTGCAATGATCAGGGCACATGGGCAGAAGCTTGCCGCCCTCCCAGGGGCGTGGGAGGCCCGGTCAGCACAAGAGATCCCTGCACAGGGGTCTGGAGAGGGGGCCCCTCTAGGCTGTGGGGAGGGTATGAAAAAAAAAGCCAGATGCAGTGGCACACGCCTGTAATCCCAGCAGCTCGGGAGGCTGAGGAAGGAGGATGGTGAGTTCAAAGCCAGCCTCAGCAATGGCGAGGTGCTAAACAATTCAGTGAGACCCTGTCTCTAAATAAAATACAAAACAGGGCTGGGGATGTGGCTCAGTGGTTGAGTGCCCCTGAGTTCAATCCATGATACCCTCCACCAAAAAACAGAATGAAATTTTAAAAAAAAAAGTTTTTTGTTTTTTTTTGAGTTTTGCAATTTTGTCTTTTTTTAAAATTGATTTTATTTTTTTAAATATACGACAGTGGAATGCATTATAATTCTTATTACACATTTTGTCTTTTTTATTCTTTTTAGTTGTATGTGACAGTAGAGTGTGCTTTGACACATCATACATACATGGAGTATAACTTCCCATTTCTGAGGTTGCACATGATGTGGATTTACACTGGTCATGTATTCGTATATAAGCATAGGAAAGTTATGTCCAGTTTATTCTGCTGTCTTTCCCATTCCCATTCCTACCTTTCACACCCCACCTACTGTGAGTCAGCACCCGCATGTCAGAGAAAACATTCAGCCTTTGGTTTTGGGGGATTGGCTTTTTCACTTTGCATGATAGTTTCCAGTTCCATCCATTTACTTGCAAATGCCATAATTTCACAAATACTCCATTGTGTATTTGTACCCCATTTTATTTATCCATTTATCTGTTGAAGGGTTCCTAGGTTGGTCCCATAGCTTAGCTCTCGTGTATTGAGCTGCTGTAAACATTGGTGTGGCTGCGTCACTGTAGTATGCCGATTTGAAGTCCTCTGGGTATATGCCGAGGAGTAGAGTAACTGGGTCAGGTGAT